CTCGTGTTTGATCCCTGTATTGGTCGAGAAAGTCCATCGGGTTTTTCGGCGTGGTTCCCTCTTGTCACTGCTGCGGGACAGAGGACATGGCATGAGACAACTCATAGTCTTTCGGATGAGACGAATAACCGACGTCCCGTTTACATATTGGTGTGCACGTAAAAGAACCCTTGGCAGTTGGTATTCGATATAAGAGTAAGCCGTAGCGTCACTGGTCGGGCAAATCTCCTCAAATGCCCGTCCTCATTAGCCCAGTCGGTACAGAAAACTAGGGCCTTATACCCCATTTCATTTCATTTCCATGGTTTCATGCGCCATTTGCAATGAACAAAGAAGACATACCCTGTCTATCATTCAATGAACGTTCAATATTGTTGATAATTGATTAAAAATAATGTATTTTTAAAAATTAAATGTGAATCACTTTATATACACCCGCATTACATCAATTTCAGCATTATGACTCATTTTTGTCTATGTATTTTAAAATTTCAAAGAATAAAGCCATATGTTAACCATTTATATTGGCAATGGAACTGAAATAGGGGTTCACGTCCTACCAATCTACTCCGACTGGGATAATGAAGACGGACATTTGCCATACAGTCTGCTTTGAGATAAATTTTATATCATTTCCAAGTGTCAAGGGATATTTTACCTGCACGCCGATGTATACACGGGACCTGTGTTTTCCGTAACATCCGAACGACTAGACAGCGGTTCTTGTCAGACCCTCCATCCTTATATTGGCATTTGAAAATATACTTCAGTTTTAACCAATTTGATGGATATTATATTTTCAGGGGTTTATACGTAGATAATACACATTCACGCGTAACTCATTAAAATAAACTAATATTTAATTCTAAAATATTTAAAGTCGTATGTCCATGCTTTCAAAAAGTCTTGATATCGAAGAGAAATTTACCTCCTACACAAAGCAAATCGTAGATAATGACGTTATAAATGTCAAAATACAACAAAGAGATAGTTACTGGCCAAAAAAACAAAAAACAAATCACAACTTATAATTAACGAATTAAATTAGGTTAATTAGAGTTTATGTTCCTATTGAAAAGAAACTGTGCGATCAATTATTCACATCTTTATAAAAGAACTCTACGTGACCCTAATAGATATTAAAGGACAATATTGGTGTCAGTCATTATCACATATGTGATAAAACTGGTTAGTTAAACACGTTCCACATATATAATTTTAACACAGGGGTCATTGCTACGATAGATGCGTTATGAAGCTTTTAAGACGCCATACAGTGTGCTTCGAGGGAAATTTTGCCCGGGCAGCGGCACTATCGCCTACTCTTATATCGAATTCCTACTGCCAAGGGATCTTTTACGTGCATTCTAATGTATACACGGGACCTCGGTTTTTGGTATCATCCGAAGGACTAGACAGCTGTCCTTGTCAGACCCTCCGTTCTGCACCACTGACAAGGGGAAACCACGTCGGAAAATACAGATGAACTTTCTCGGCCAATGCAGGGATCGAACACCCGACCTCCAGGCTAGCGAGTCAGCGTCTTAACCACCTAGCCACCGTGGCTCCCCCTTCTATATAACTAACTGGAGTGACGAGTGATAACAGATACACGGACGAATTTCTGCTCACTAATAATTCCTTCGAAGACCAAAAGTTGACACCAATATTGTCCTTTAATGATAGTGTCTGTACACTGTATAGTTACCGGTAACAAAGGGGATTTCGTTTTAGAAAAAAAAGATAATAACGTATACTATAGTAGGCCTATCAACTAAGGTAGACGATGACTTAAATATAGGTTTTCATGAGAATGAGAGGGAGGGGGAGAAATTGGGTTTAACATCTTCTCGACCTAATTCAGGTTAACGTCCTACTGTTCTGCTCCGACTCCAAGCTGATAGATAAAATCCCATCATTTATTTCTTTTTATGAATTGTCAGATATTCTCTCACAGTCTCACACAACAACTTTTGGTCTTGGAAGAAATTATTAGTGAGCAGAAATTCGCCCATGTATCAGTTATTACTCGTCACTTCAGTCAGTTATATAGAGGGATGACTCGTGTTTTCCTTTAGCGTTCGTCACTTCCGATTCAGGATACCTGTATTACTCAGCTATCGTAGCAATGATCTCTGTGTTAAAATTATATTTGGAACGTGTTTAATTAGTTCTATCACATAATATGTGATAATGACTGACACCAATATTGTCCTTTAATAACTTTACGGTAATATGTTAAGCTGCACGTGTGACGTTGCACTGTGGGACAGCTATGGCGGAATACCAGGGAAGACAGCCTTCGTCGTCTGTCGCCGTTTGTCGGCCTTTATCGTATATATCACGTGTGTCATGAACTGTTGATAACTGCGTGGTAATCTGTCAGATGTTCATATTATTATAATATAATTTCTCATGGAGCCTTGACTTCTCTGAAGCGATACGTGTTCTGGTTGGTTTATGTGGAGTTACTAAGTTATTCGCTTAACATAGGCGCGGTTGCTCAGCGAGTAACATGTTTGCTCGCTAACCTGGAGACCCCGTGTTCGATCCAGGTGTAGCCTAAGAAAGTTCATCGAGAATTCCCGGTGTGGTTCCCCCTTGTCAGTGGTGCAGGGCAGAAGGCCTGGCAATGGACAATGTTTCGTGGGACGAAAAACCGAGGTCCCGGGCACACGTGGTCGTACACGTAAAAACCCATTAACAGTTGGAATTCGATATAATAGTAGGTCGTAGTGCTGTTGTGTATAGCACCCTGTATGGTGTATGCCCGTCATCATTAGCCCAGTCGGTGCAGAACAGTAGGACGTAAAGCCCCATATCATTTCGTTTATTCGATTAAAATCCCCGGAAGGCCGCCATTTAAGCCAATGTGGTTAGTCGGTGCAGAACAGTAGGATATTAAACCCAATTTTATTTCATGTATAGCATAAAATCCCTACATGACCGCGATTTAAACCCTTCTCGTTAATAAAAAAAAACCACACCAGAACACAGAATTAATTATCTCTTATTAGTCGCAGTATATCCTCTTATTATTTGTTTCATGATGCATTTATCACAGATAATAATTGGTAAACACATATAACTTCCTTGAACTTTTTCACTTATTGCAAATAAACGACAAAAACATTTATTATAAACTATAGATGTAACACATTTCCGTCATAAAATATGTATGTAATTATAAAAAAAAAAATATCCGAGAATGTATTATTAGGTTGCATGCAAAATGTGAGACGGATCTGTGAGAGACAAATGGGGTTTAACGTCCACTCGACACAAACTAGGTCATAAACAGATGGTTTAATTTTATTTCAATAATTCGCTTGCGCGTAGGGGTCTTTAGCAGTGGGGGGAAACCGGAGAACCCGGAGAAAACCAACGAGATTGGACAGGCGACCCTACTCCTTGTCACGTACAACCGGGGATTCGAAACCACGCCAGTTGACTCAATGACAGGCCGTATGATACAGCACGCACGTGCTAACCATTCTTCGGCCATCCACCACTAGCCCCCCCCCCCCAGTGAGTGAAACGCTTGGTCACTAACAAAAGAAATCTCGGTGTTTGCTGATAAAGTTCCCAGTGGGTAGTCTAGCTTGGTTTGCTTATTTCAGTTGTGCAGTACAGAGTGCGTGACAAGGAACGAAGTGCACGTAAAAGAACCCTTGATAGTTAGAGTCACTCGGAGATTGAAGTGCCGTCTCACTTTTCCAGTGCGTATTCCAGTCGGATATGCTTATTTCAGTGGCGCAGGACAAAGTGCCTGGCAAAGGAACGATGGCGTGCACGTGAAAAATCCCTTAGATGAAGACGTGGTGTTCACGACGCTGTCTGGCCAAATTCTCTCTCATAGCACACTGCATGCATATGAGACTAGTTTGTAATTGCAAAGATATAACCATTTTAAACGTTCGCAAACGTTCGTGAAAGGTGCTTAAGTAATAGAATAAAGTTAAGAATTTACTCAACTATCAATCAATGTTTATGAAAAATATCTTTGATCCAGATACACAAAACGTTGCACATAGTTTCTTATTGATGTATTTGATAGATTAAAACAAGAAAAGTTTTATAAAGGGCTATATTAGTTAAAATAAGGTGAACAATTTTGATTAAATTCTTAACTGAAGTCTTAGAATGCTTTTTGAGTTCTTTATAATCATCCGATTCTGGTATTATTTTATATATCAAGCACGAAATTAATTATATTAATTTTCTTTGTGAAAATTCAGAGGACAAATTTATTTACAATGAGAATACATAAATGTAAATCACTTGAATAATTATATATAAAAATTATATTCTACAATAACGAGGACATCGTTCTACATTATAAAGAGCTAATTAATAATGATTTGTGACGACCGAGATTCGATTGATTATATCGTTAAATGAAAAATAATTATGTTTCAACTGGGATAATGAGACCTAACATGAAAGAGTTGATTTGATTTTAACATGCAACTATTTTAAAATAAATATTTGTTTGCGATATAAGTGTTAACAATTTAGTGTCGGGGATAGATGAAGGTACTAGGCCATTCCACTAATGGGGCCCCTCCTAATCTCCCACCCTCACCCTCACGACTAGAGAACAGGCGAGGATAATTGCGGATGTTTAGGACTATAGCGTGTAAGTAAGGCTTACGATAATGTCTAAAATATTATACAACTTGGCCGGAGGTCCCCTAGATCTTGGGGGCATATATTCCCCCCACCTCACCCTCACGACTAGAGGAAGGTAAAAGTGTGTTATAAACACAAATGAGAAAATCCGAGAATAATTCCGGATGTTTAAGACCACATAGCGTGTTAGCAAGGCTTATGATGGTGTCCAAAATATTACACACCTTGGCCGGATGTACCCTAGATCTTGAGGACCAGATCTTCTGTCAAGTCTGTAGGTACATCTGGCACTTAGAAAGGCTTCCGAGATTCGTGTCAAGTCTATATGTACATCAAGCACTTACACCTCAATACATCACATTACTTACCTGTAGAGAAAACAGAATGGTCAGATAAAACGGCGGATTCTCACTTATACTGTAAATAAGTGGCTTTTCTTTGACTTCTTCGATTACAATATTGTCTTGTTTTTTAAATCCCGCAGTTCCATTTTCACTTAACCCGTTTTCTCCTTGATTGTTTCCACTTTCAGCTTCTTTCGCTTTATCAAGAGTAATATAACTAAATTCATATTCTTCACCTTTGGTAGCGTCTTTGTTGTTTGTTCCGTTTGAACAGCTATTTACACAATGTCGGCCATTTTGTTCAGCGTTTGACTGTTCACATCTCGCCGAAACTTCACCTACATCCAACTCACACGAAAACCCCTCATTCACTCTCCCTGTACCCCCATTACGCCCAGAGATTTCTGTCATGTTCAAACATTTCACGGGTACCGCATCTTCTTTCGACCGGCTCATGGTACTAATTTTATTAAACAGCCGAAGTTACGTAAGCTCACCAAACTTCCAATTGTGACGAAACTAACGAATACAATAAATATTTACAGAAACCCCCTCACCTTTATAAACTTTGTTCTACAAAAAAAAAAGCTAAACGGCAAAAAACAACTAATAAAATTGGTACTTGTTCAGTTACCGTCATACGTGTTACTCTATCATCAAAGGCGATATAAAAGGTTATCCAACTTTTGCTAATATATTGTTTTGCTAGGCGGATGAGGTTACTGAAATACGTTTATATATAATATTACGCAGGATTAAATATGATTTTGCATTTCTTTTTAAAAATCGCTGATAAAAGTAAGCCACTGACCAAGTTTCTTTGCGAGGATGTAAAGTATACCACAGACAAGGTCGTAAGAATAGTAGATATTGTCTCTAAGATAATATATTAATATGTGTTTGCCCTAATTCGAGTTTATATAGAACTGTTATAATATAGAGGGTATCCTTACTATAAAGAAAGTTAAACTTAAGATGACTTGTGGTTATACAGCTTATTCAGTGACTTCCCTTTTCCATCATTCGCTTTTTACAATCAGACATGTCCGCGTTTTTTCTTGTGTAATTGGAACACAATCGGAGTATAAAAAAGGTATGCTCCACTTAATATCAAGCGGATAGAGAGAGAAATTGGGTTTAACGTCCACTCGACACAAACTAGGACATTTCGGGACTAATACGTGGTTCAATTTTTTTTTCAATAATTCGCCTGCGCGAATGGGAGGAAACCAGAGGACCAGAGAAAACCCACGAGGTTGGACAGGTGACCCTCCCCCTTGTCACGTACAACGGGTCAATCGAAACCATGCAAGTTGACTCAATGACAGACCTTATGATACAATGGGCTAACCATTCGACCTAATCGACCATCCACCGCCCCTCAATAACAAGGGGGTTCAGGGTTCGAAAGCGGTATTGGCTTGAAAATTCGTGAATTTTAAAGTTTGATTTCTACTTTACAGTGGGGCAGGACAAAGTTACTATGCATTTGAAAGTAGACTCGACGGTTGGAATTCGACAAAGAGTAGCGATGGAAACGAGAATTGTCAACAAATTTAAGCGGTAAACATTAAATATGCATTATGCAAGAGCTAATTCTGCCTATTGCAGGTCTTTTTTTTAGGCCTGAAATGTTATTTAAATTATGAAATAGGCATTAATTATCAAGACCATAACCAGCTTCCGATGCTATCGGATGCTAGCGATATTTAGTGGATTTAAATACGTTTTGTGCTGGATGCAGTTACCGTAAAAATGGATAATTAACCAATTTTAGGGAAAACAAGGACAGTCACCCCTATCACCAAACGTATCACTCCTCACACACCACACACACAAAGCAACGGGAGCACTATGATATTGTTTAATGGGGATGGGGCGGTTAGCTTTTGTCGTCAGGGATAGTTGGCTATTAGGGCAAAAGTAGTTCCAGAGTTATATCCCTTGGCTGAAATTGTTCGTAGTGTACATTGGCGTACCATACACATTAAAAAAAAATCTTAAAAGCCCTTGCCACCAATCATCATTATCAGAGGATACCGACCGATTCCGCAAACTTAGATCCAATGGTCAGTGACAGAAATAGTCATGGGTATAATTAAGTGTATATATAGACACGCAATAACAGCAAATATACAACTGGCGGTAGTTTTTTCTTTGATGCCCATAGCAGTAATATCTCATAACAACCTGTCATGACGAAACCACAGGTTGATATATTCGTTCATATCAACCGCTGATGACGTCATGACAGGTTGATATTTCAGATCAACCGCTAATGACGTCATCTCAGGTCGATATATTCGGCTGATATCAACCGCTGATGACGTAGTTGATCGAAATAATACAAAAAACACAGAAATAAATTTGTATTCTTTTGACAACTTAAAATTGTTATGGTACAGTTTGCAACATTCAGGGCCGAAATAGACGGCGTACTTACCGGCATATTTAAATCGGTTATCCATACTCCATGTCTAAGATATCTTTCAGAATTTTCTTTCCGTCCACACACTCCTAGACTTGAAAGTATTTATCGCTCAAGAGTTCCTTCATAAAGTATTTTTGGGTACAGTCCACTTCAAACAGTCGGTCAAATCCTTCGCTGAACATACCGAAAACCTTTGGGGGTTGGATGGCTGAATGGTTAGCGTGCGCGCGCTGTATCATAAAGTCTGTCACTGAGTCGACTGGCGTGGTTTCGAATCCCCGGCTGTACGTGGCAAGGAGTAGGGTAGCCTGTCCAACCTCGTGGGTTTTCTCCGGGTCCTCCGGTTTCCTCCCACTGCTAAAGACCCCTACGCGCAAGCGAATTATGTAAATAAAATTAAACCATATGTTAGTCCCGAAATGACCTAGTTTGTGTCGAGTGGACGTTAAACCCCATTTCTCTCTCTCTCTCTCTTTCTCTTTATCTCTCACCGAAAACCTTCAATCTGGGTTCAATGTCAGAATTATCGGAAAAGAATGCCCTTTAATCCAAATTTTCTTCAGGCTTCGGATAGATTCTTATCGATATTTGCATTCACATATATTCCATCGTCAATATGTTGGCTAAAAAGGATTGATTATTCGTCTGACTTCGCATTACTATCCGTATCCATTTGGTTTTTGCGTTCAATTCAATACCCCAAAATGGCGACGTATAAACAAAAACATGCACGTAATTGCACGTGATTACTTCGGTAATTTTCGCTATTTGGCGGAAACTATCGAGCATAGACCAAATTGAAGATACTTTGAATACCTGGAAAAGACGAAACGTAAGTTTAATAGGGAAAATCCATATAATAAAAACATTCTGCGTATCTAAAATATTATACCCTGCATCAGTTAAAACTATACCTGAAAATATAATTAAAAACATTAATAAATTATTTTATAACTACATATGGAACGGGCCTGATAAACTAAAGAGAACAGTTATAAATCAAGATATAAATAAAGGGGGGCTAAATATGATTGACTTAAAAGAAATGATGATATGCCGTAGCGTATTCTGGATAAAAAAGATACTATCACACGATGTTCAATCATGGAAAATTCCGTACACTTATATATTAAACGATTATGACGGACAAATATTACCGGCATGTAATTATGCAACATCTTTTTTTAAAATTATCTCCCTTCTATGAAGAACTTTTCAATAATTGGTTCCATATTTATACATCAAAAATCGATATGTTAACAAGCCCTCAAAATCAAATCATCTGGAACAATAAGCATATAAAGATTAACAAAAAACCTTTAATAGATAAAGAATTGATGAATGATAATATTTTATTTTTGATTGACTGTAGAGAAGACGTTGTAATCAATAGGATAATTAATAGTAATAAAATATTAAGAATGAAAAGCGTTTGCTTAGCAGTTAAAGAGTGTTTGGATACAATCGACCGCGAACTTACGCCTATAGTAAGAAAACAAAGCGTGTTTGACATTATTAATAACAACTGTATAAATATATATAAAAAATCACTAGATAAGATGCAAGCAAAAGACATTTATTCAATACGAGTCGATTCTAAATATAGTAAACCATTAGCAATAAGTAAATGGGAAGAAGAGAATAGTTTTATATTTGAAGATTGTGAAATCTCAAATATCTTCAATTTGGTCTACAAAACGGGCACTGATACTAGATTACAGAATTTTCAATTTAAATACCTCCAATTATATATACAAACGACCGTTTTTTTTTAAAATCTAATTAAAGGAGTCTTCATTGTGCGATTTTTGCTATTCAAATATAGAAACCCCGGAACACCTTTTTATATACTGCAATTACGCACAGAAAATATGGAATGATTTACATGAAATCTTCTCAACTAATGACATTTCATTACAATTACAACTTACAAACATTCATTTCGGTTTTCCGAAAAAACAGTTTTTAAATCATATCGTGAATTCTTATTTGTAAATCATTTAATATTTTTAACAAAATACTACCTCTACAAATCGAAAATAGAAAATATCAGACCGACAATTATTAATTATCGAAACTATTTAGAAAGTAAACAGCAGATAGAAAATGAATTAAACGAAGCCTTAGTAAATAAATGGGATTATACCATATGAATATTATGCATACCTCTAGTACTCCATCTAGTATTCCAACTCCTTAATACCTCTAGCTATTCTTGTATTTTTTTTGTTTAGTTTTTAGCTTTTATTTTTCTTTGTGAATATATTTGTTCTACTCAATGTAATATAGTATAGCCTTCAACATTAAACCGACGCTATCTGTATGATGTTACACACTGTGATTATATTATGTGAACTATGTACTATGCCGTTATTAATTGTTTTGAAATAAAGATTTTTTTTTAAAAAAAAGAAAAAAAAAGAAACTATCGAGCAATTATCCAATCATTGTTGCCTTTTAATGGAAGAGCACATTAAATTTAAGGGTGAAATAGCGTTTTATATGTCGGATATAAACCTACTCTCCCTCGGATTGATATCAACCTAGGATAGGTTGATTTACAACTATTTCCAACAATTATTTATATCATGTTTTAACTTATTAAAATAAGTCAACCACTTCAAGGTTTATCCTATTCTGCTGTATCAATACACAGGGAAATAAGTGTGGGCTATTTCAATGCCTTTATAGAGCTTTGTTAAATTATGAAATTTGGTTTGACGATCTACTTTTCTGCACAAATCGGTCTAATGAAGATGGGCGTTTGCCATGAAGTGTGTTATGTGCGAAAGTTTAACCGAGCAGCCGTATTTCCACCTGCTATTCATCAAACACCGCCTAGGTATTTCGTACTGGATGTCGTTCGTTGCGCGGCCCTCCGACCCGCACCGTTGACAAGGAGAAACTACGCCGAGTAATCCTGAGGAACTTTCTCTGCCAACAACAACTTAGAATTCAAGATCTCTTGGTTAGCCAACATGACTACCAGGTCTGTTGTTCCCAAAACACTAGGTTATCTGCGCTCGGGGAGTTGGATGGCCGAATGGTTAACACGTGCGCGTTGTATCATAAGGTCTGTCATTGAGTCAACTGGTGTGGTTTCGATTCCCCGGTTGTACGTGACAAGGAGTAGTCTCACCCGTCCAACCTCGTAGGTTTTCTCCGGGTACACGGGTTTCCTCCCACTGCTAAAGACTCCTACGCGCTCATTGTGTTATCAAACATAACATTGTGGCACCCCACTGTTATTGTGTGTAACATAAATATACTGTTTGGGAAGCTATTTGGTCAACACTTGAAGTTTTATAGTGTGTCAGTTTCAGGACTCACATACCTTACCACCGTTGAAAGTGATGTAATATCGTAAGACAAACACTGTTGTAAAGTGGAGTATGACGATTATTTAATTCAATTGAAATGAAAAAAATGGGGCTTAACGTCCCACTGTTCTGCTCCAAACTGGGCTGCTCGAAACTGGGCTAATGAAATGAAATGGGGTTTAACGTCCTACTGTTCTGCTCCTAACCTGGGCTAATGAAGACAGGCATACGCCATACAGTTTGCTATGAGGGAAATTTTGCCCGGGCAGCGGCGCTACGGCCTACTCTTATATCGAATTCAAACTGCCAAGGGATCTTTTACGTGCACGCCAATGTGTACACGGGACCTCGGTTTTTCGTCCCATCCGAAAGACTAGACAGCTGTCCTTGTCAGTCCCTCCATCCTGCATCACTGACATGGGGAAACCACGCCGGAAAATCTGAATGAACGTTCTCGGCCAATGCAGGAATCGAACACCCGACCTCCAGGCTAGCGAGCCAGCGTCTTACCCGCTTAGCGACGTGATCCCCCCTGGGCAAATGAAGACGGGCATACGCCATACAGTGTGCTATAAGGGAAATTTTACCAATGCAGGGATCAAACACCCGACCTCCAGGCTATAGCGAGCCAGCGTCTTACCAGCTTAGCCACTGTGACCCCCAATTCAACATTGAGGTCAAAGAACAAAATCATAAAAAGTACCAACATTCCCAATATGTATTTTAAAATTAATATTCATTATTAGTTCGTTGTTGATTTACACAACCCTTACAGGGACGACAGGCTAGAAGGAAAAGTAAAAAAAAAGACCTAGTCATCACAAATCGGCATCCGTAGACATGTTTGTGAAGGTGCAAATATATACGATTTTGGTAATCAACAAACAATTAATATTTGATGTATAGCAATTAATAAACAGGCCTTCCAATTATTCTACCTGGTGGACATAAATTGAGGTCAATTGCATATAATGACCACCTCCATCAAAAGACTAGAAAAAACAGAAATGAATTGGAGTTCAACTCCCACTTTTCTGCACCAACTGGGCAAATGAAGACGGGAAAAAAGTTATTGATGCATGAATGAGGCAAGCTTGAAACAGAATTACATGGAGTTTCACAAATATATCTTGAATGATTTCTGAGATTTGCTTAGGAATAATAAAATCAAACGTGTTGCCAACACAATAACTGAGATTAGGCTTATGTGTGTACACTAGAAAAACAAATATGGTCTCTAAACAGTGTATGAGATATGATCCAGAATAATAAATGTGAACCAATAATTAAGAAAACATGGTTTCTATGAAAACACAAAAAATATACCTTGAACGATTTATGAGATATGCCCTGGAAAAGATGTCAAGGAAACGAAATCGGCACGGAACGACGGATTCCATTTCAATATCCCTCCCTATATATTTTCGTTCGGTGCTTAACAGTAAAGTCCCAACGCAACGACTAGTGCCCATATTTATTTAAATCCATCAGTACTAAAGTAAGATACTGAATTTACATTAGTTTCTATAGAATTCCCACCGCAACCTTGTGATTTAAAATGTCTTCTATGCATTTCCTTTCTGTATCTCGTCTTTGTTGGCGTTTGTTTCCAATCCTTCATATGTAGGCAATAGAGGACAATATTTAGTAAATCTAGACTTTTTTACGACATCAGGAATCCATGGCACGTCATAAATTTCTATTCCTTCTTCATATTCTATATTTTTGTCAGTTTTATTCGATTCTGCACCTCCAAGCTGGAATGTTAATCCACGTGACTCTCTTGTGCCTAAAATATACAAAGGCGTATAAATATATGGTTTGACCCCTCTTTGGTCTTTAATATGATAACAGCCCAATATGGTTGTTTGAAAACTACGAATAATAGTGTGGGTGGGGTGGGGGCTGGAGGTTGATGGAGTAGGGTCGCCTGTCCAACCTCGTGGGTCTACTCTTAGTAAAAGTTCGGTAGAGATATAAGAAACCTGTTGTTTCATAGAAATTTAAGAGTTTGCCATAAATTATTCATACGCCTCCAGGTTGAGTGGCTTTATAGAAACTATTGATGTTTTATGGTGGCTATTTCTGTATCAACCTTCTGTAAAGTCATTATGGGTTAATACAGAGGAAATACTACCCTTCCCAATAACCACATGCTTTCAATTTAACGTGCACAGGGTAAGCGGTTGATATTGGATAACTTGTTACTAAGAATATCTGGATATGATCTTTATAGTTGGTGTCGTTGTGTAAGTAGGATAGCAACCTATTTCCGCGGCTGTTATTCGAAAACAACAATCTAGTATCTTTGTTCAAAAACAACCTGAAAAGCCGTGGCTTTCTACTGCTAATCAGGGATTTATTCGATATGCAGTTTTTACCTTTGACGGTATTATCCAGGAAACAAGCCAGTGCCCCAGCGACAAATATACCATTTGCTAATAACATGGTTATAACCGTATCCAACTCTGCCACACCTAGACAATAAAATCGAAATACATTTACACAAGTTCCGATAGTTATTTGCAGGGTTTTTGCCCCTTGAAGATTATCTGATTACCTTGAGATTTATTTATTTTCGTGATAGGAACATGCCCATCACATAAAAGGTAACGATGTCATATAATTATTCCATGCTTTACCTATGAAAGATTCAAATTGCGAGAACCATGTATGGACAGCCATGAGTGTATGTTTCGTTGCCTTGCAACCCATAGTCCATTACAAACGTAGAATATAGAAGTGATTCTACTTAGTGGTGGTGTTTTATTTGGTAACAATAAATGTACTTTTTTAAGACTCCACTTATCACACTAATGCACCTTTCATGAATGAAGGATAACAAATAATTAGCATACCTGTTTTAATACCATCCGGATTTTTGTCAGTCCAATTTGGTGCCATGAAACCTACCAAAATACTTATACCAAGAATAGCTAGATTCCTGGTACTGTTCATATATACAAACTGCAACTGGGACAGAATGATTCCAAAGAAAACACCAAAATATAAGATCATGGTGCCTCCCAATACACTGTAAGGTATGGTGATAATCGCAGCATTCAGTTTTCCTAATATAGCAAATAATATATGTAGGAAACCCAAGAGTTGAAAGACTCGCCTGCTAGCAACCTGTAGAATAACAATTCAAACCAATAAACACAATTAAAAGTGGTACCCGGTCCTTAAAAGTCCCTGAATATGATTTAAACGACACAGGAAACCCTTGCAAACCAATCTGATTATAATACAGATCTATATTTCGTTTCGTTTTTTATACTTTCGATGGCCTACACTACATAAAGATCTGACAAGTTATTGCGATAGGTCACGTCACGGGTCAAAAGACCGACTTATGGCCCTTTTGACGTCAGACAGTTGATTAACCAATCAGCATTGATGTTACTAGTGGATTACCCACAGTTCCGTGAAAAGCACGCCTAAAGCTCGCCGTAACAGACCGTTTCATTGGCTTATCCCTGACACCATTCAGAACACGAGTTAAATAACAACTCTTCCAGATCCAAGTGTAGTAAAGACAAGTAAAACGAAATTTTGAACTATAAAAACGAAACGAAATAGGATCTGTGTTTTAACCAGATTGCTTGCAAACTACAATATTGTACAATTTTCATTGGTAATACGATTATCACTCCAAAATGGATCATTCCATTCTATATTTACAAAGATAAGATGAAGCAAAATTCCATCGATCTTTTTGGCCCCTTATATGTAAATGGTAAACTTTTTTTCAATTTTCCCTCTTCTCGCTTCTATATATTTCATGACAGAATTTGCCAACAAAACTTTGAAGTTCAAGTTTCCGCCATTATACAATCTATGGTAGGCTAATTGCCAGTAAGCAGGTTTGGGTATTGTCGGATGAGAGAGAGATGGGGTTTAACGTCCACTCGACACAAACTAGGTCCTTTCGGGACTAACATATGGTTCAATTTTATTTCCATAACTCGCCTGCGCGTAGGGGTCTTTAGCAGTGGGAGGAAACCGGAGAACCCGGAGAAAACCCACGACGTTGGATACTTTCAAATTACACTGAACTTAAAAGATATGTTGGTTTAATGAACCATGTTAAAGAACTATACCTTAGTAATAAACTATAACAAATACTTATGGAAGAACAATTACTGATTTATTTGGGCGACGTGTCGAAGAGTATTCTCTCAACGTTTTCAAGCAAGTACAGTAACAAATGTGTAGAGCAATTATATATAGACAAGCAATAACAACAATTCAGAAACCATGCATGACAACAACAAGATCAAAGGAATAAAAACAACATGATCAAAGGCAATATACATATGAAGGGTTAACGAGACCACTGATAGGTAATTATAGGGGTAAATAATTTTAATTGGACAACCAATCATGACAAATGAGAAACCATACATGATGTGATTGGCTAGGTGAGGGTACATCAAGGGAATAATAAAGGATTGATAATAGGGGTAAACATACCATTAAACCAAACAAAAGAGAAACCATACATGTTACGAAAACATCAGAGAAGTAGTAAGCTACATAGGGATTAAATGGTTAAGCCATATTTAAGTGAATTACTAAATATTAGTATTAAAATGCACACAACATAGCACAACTAGCATGCTCTTAAGTAAGAGTGTAATGATAGTCCAACACTCTTCCTTCCGACAGACTCACACAAACATTTATGCCAAGGATAAGTACAAGAGACACTTAACTGTTTACTAAGGATAATTGCATAAATGAAAATAAATAAGTGGGATATAAATAAGTGGGACACATCTATGAAGTTGTGTGCTCATTTATGGTCATCCATTTGTAGAACTAATTTTAATAAGTGTGTGTGTCTAATGGGAAGGAGTGTGTAGGACATTATTACTTAGGAGCCTGTGGATAGGACTGTGGTGTGGCTTTCCAATATTTATAATTTACCATTATATCCCACTTATTTATGGTCATTTATGTAATTATCCTTAGTAAACATGCTAGTTGTGCTATGTTGTGTGCATTTTAATACTAATATTTTGTAATTCACTTAAATATGGCTTAACCATTTAATCCCTATGTAGCTTACTACTTCTCTGATGTTTCCGTAACATGTATGGTTTCCCTTTTGTTTGGTTTAATGGTATGTTTACCCCTATTATCAGTCCTTTATTATTCCCTTGATGTACCCTCACCTAGCCAATCACATCATGTATGGTTTCTCATTTGTCATGATTGGTTGTCTAATTAAAATTATTTACCCCTATAATTACCTATCAGTGGTCTCATTAACCCTTCATATGTATATTGCCTTTGATCATGTTGTTTTATTCCTTTGATCTTGTTGTTGTCATGCATGGTTTCTGAATTGTTGTTATTGCTTGTCTATATATAATTGCTCTACACATTTGTTACTGTACTTGCTTGAAAACGTTGAGAGAATACTCTTCGAAACGTCGCCCAAATAAATCAGTCATTGTTCTTCCATATGTATGTGTTATAGTTTATTGCTCTATCCAGTTACTAAATGCCTCTAAAAGATCATATACCTTAGTAATTCCAATAGCAGCAATATTGCCACCATAGGAACTAGTTGCATGCCCAGCTCCAGTCATACCAGCAAAAAAACTCATCAAACCTTCCCAAAATATTCCACGATTCATGGCATGCGCTGGTGGGGGAGGAACGTAGCACACCCTAGCACATGCTCTGTAATCACAAACTGAATCTATCACTGACACAATTGTGGCTACAAATGCACCAACAAATGTAGCCGTGTCAAATCTGGAGCTTCCGAATTGACCTGTTGAATACCAAAATAGAAATAATCAAACATTTCACACACATTATCGCAAAATGTTTTTAAACATACGGGTTTGGGTCAGTATGTTAAAATGCACGAGGATGTGTTTCAGTGCCGGCTCCTCAAACGTCCCGGAAGAGGGAGGGGATGGGCGAAAACAACGCTTCACAAATGCTATAAGTGGGTTGATCAAAATTATTCGTTTGCAAATACCCCTTAAATGTAATGATACTCTCATCTCGTGTCATTCGAATAATAAGTACAGGGGGACCACACCACACAAAACCCATATGACAAACACGCGGACAGGACACATAAACTATATAGACACCGTATATATAAAATCCAGTGAAATGGACCCGGGGGCAATGGTCAACAAATTCCAAATGAATCAACAATACGACGTTCTCTTTGATTTACCTGGATATGGAAAATAAAACCATGGATTAGTTGTAATAATATCATTCGTGGCATCAGTTCTGGCATAAAACTGGATACTGGTTGGATCACTGGATAATATTTCCGTACTGGTAAATATGGCGCTTAAAATCCATCCAAATATTACTGATATCAATATCTGTAAAAATATTATTATTGTAATTACACAAAATTATATATATCGAGAGATTAGCTTTTGAATTTTAGACTAGCCTCGATCATCATTACTAAAGTCGGTACGATAAAAAAAACCAAAGTCTCCATTATCCATTTTTACGTTTAATCATTTTGCAAAAAATGCATTCCAATCCGCTAAATATCGCAGGCTAGCGTTGGTATCGAGAGTAGATCACGGACTGGATAAGTTAATTAATGTCTAATTAATAATTAAGATAACATTTCAGGCCTAAAGAAAAACCTACAATAGGCAGGTTTAGCTCTTACGTAATGTATTTTTAATTTATGAACAATTCCATATTTGAAATAAAATGGCCAATCTAATTAAAGGTGTACCCCTTATAACATGCACCCATTCAATGTCATATTTTAATGCTGGATGATGTTTATGATTGACTGAAAAAAACAATGAACACAACAATAAACTATAACTGTTTCAGACTTAAATAATATAACAGGTAAGTTGCATCTGTTCACCATGCAAAACTTTATCTAGATAGGCCTGGGTCTACACGGAGTGAAAAGAAAAACATTTATTTGGCACTTGTAGTAAGTCAATAATTGTTAATAAGCCTTAAAATACTACATGAATGTATACACGGTGACAACATAGTGCATGAACAAAACATAAACAGGTGTGAGCTCTTGATTGCAGTGTTTCTCACCATTTTTTAGGCTGATCTGGGCTCCATGAAATCTACTAACGAGAGAGCCCTGGTTAACAAGGCTAATAGGCTAATGAAGGCGGGCATTTCGAATTCAAACTGCCATAGGTCATTTTACGTGCAGGCCAATGTGTACACGGGACACGGGATTTTTCATCCCTTACGAACGACTATATGTTGTCCCTTGCCAGACTCGCCGTCTTGCATCAGTGACAAGGGGGGACCCATGCCGGAAATTTCCGATGAACAAGATAGAGATTTAAAACGGGACCTCCAGGTTAGCGAACCATCGCCTTACTCACTGAACCACCGCGGTTCCATCTAAACATTATTGCGAACGACATTGTTAGAAACGCAATAACAATTTGTGTCCACCTACCCACCCACCTTAAATATAGTAATAAATATATTCAGCGAGTATGAAACTCTCGGATCTCCTGTACCCTTTACTTACAATATTACCGAAAACACCTGGATGTGACATGTACCGGATGTGATATGGGATTTGCTAAATCAGTGATTCTCAACCAGTGCCGCGAAATCTTCCTACGTGTGCCGCGAAAAGGCACACTAAGAAAATGTGGAAAACCAATTGAGTATTCACTGGCGTCCACTGATAAGTTCATAGCTTTGCTTTTCTTTATTTAGTTTGAGTCATTCTCTGAGTCTATGACTAGTATCTGTCTACAGTTGTATTCCGTCTGACTTAACATGTTTTTATTTTGCAAAATTCGAATATTTTTCATATATATATATATATATATATATAGCAATCTGTGCCGCTCTTTTTGTTATGTGTTCCAGGACGTGCCGTTGGCAAAAAAAGGTTGGGAACCACTGTCAGCTAAACATACAAGGTGCGTCAAATTACAATATTACCGAAAACATTTGATGTAATGGATACCAGAAGATGTGGAAACCTCTTTCCCTAGTCCAGAATGGAATCGGCGTCATTTTCCCTCGTAGATACAATGCTAAAATGAGACCACATGCCGTTGTCCTTTAAAATACAAAAGAAAATACAAAATATACTATTGGGTTTTGTGTAATGTGTAAACTTTACTGTTTTTCGTTTTAGTATGGTTTTGTTGTCTTCTTGAATGTGTTTTGTCTTGCAATACTCAATTAAATACAACATAAAAATGAACTTTTCGGTCTATTTCAAGGGGTTAAAGAATAGAGCTACACGCCCATTAATGAAACGCCCACATTTTGCAATAAATGGATAGAGAACAAGCTAAAAAGATGCGACTTTGTTTGTACAATCAGGGGCAATAACAAGGAAGTTACGGTCCGAGATGCACCGAGATCTTTTGGATATAATCATACATTTTACGTTTCATCAAGATCGGATAGAAATTATGACGTCTAGAGGGTCCAAAAGTGCTGTATTACATAGTTTTACACTATTTGCGTAGAAGTAGCAGCCATTTTGGTCGATTTTCACGACATTCGAACTCTATCATCATTAGGGTGTAACGATGATATATTTAAACGCTTTTTTAATCGGATAAGTATGGTGACTTCTAAACGTTCCACAAGGTAAAACAAGACAATTTTTCAAAAAATCAGGGGCCATAATCCAGGTACATGTATTTACAATCCGATATACTCGAATATCGACAGGAATCCAGATCTTTGCGTTATAAACATACATTTCAAGATTCGTCAAAGTCGGATAAAAATTGTGACTTCTAGAGGGTCCACAACCTTGGTATTAGATAGGTTTACACTATTTGCGTACAAGGAGCGACCATTTTGTCCGGCTGTTTCGGCCGGATTTTTACGAAATTCGAATTCAACCTCCATTGGGTTTAACGGTGATATGTAGAAAAGGTTTTTAAAATTGAATACAAATTGTGAATTTTAGAGCGTACACAGGTTAACAAGGTAATTTTTCCAACAATCAGGGGCCATAATCCAGGAAGTCACGTTCCGATATGCGCGACACTGCAAGTTGCGTCAAAATCGGATGAAAATAGTGACCTCTACAGTCTCCACAAGCTAAAAACATGATTTTTGGTACAATCAGGGGCCATAATCCATGAAGTGACGGTCCGATACATGACAATTTTGAAAGGAGCCGAGACCATTGTGAGATGAACCTATATGTCAAGTTTCGTCAAAATCAGATAAAAATTGTGGCCTGTAGAGTTTCCACAAACAAAATGTGGACGGACGGACAGGGGCAATAATATACGTCCACATGAAAATATGGGCGTATAAAAACTGTGCATTCATGGAAAATAGCAAAACATCGGATATTAAAATACTTACGACAAAGCGGAATTCAAAAAGTTTCAGCAAAATTCACTATCACTTTGTGGCCTGTAGAGTTTCCACAAACAAAATGTGGACGGACGGACAGGGGCAATAATATACGTCCACATGAAAATATGGGCGTATAAAAACTGTGCATTCATGGAAAATAGCAAAACATCGGATATTAAAATACTTACGACAAAGCGGAACCCCAAAAAGTTTCAGCAAAATTCACTATCACTTTGTGAACATATAGCACAATCATCAGCAGCGCAGGGACGATGGTGATTGGTCCAACGTATCTGGCGACCACGCCTACGAATCCAGTTAGACCAATCAAAATGTGAATGGCACCGGCTACCATTAGGCTTCCCTGTAACTGCAATTTGAATTTGATCAGCGTTAGTAACATTTGGAGATATTGCAAGCTGATCTTATGCATTTGATACTTTATTTTTAAAGTGATCTCAAAATGCAGAATGTACATCTAAATATAATATTTACAATAGTTAAATTTAAATAATTACTTTTTCAATCTGACCAAGGATGAACTCTTTAGGGACAGGGAGTCGACCATTTACTTCTGTCATGTTGATGGACGAATTAGAATATAAAGCCACTGAAATTAAACAAGCACAAATACACCAAATAATGGTAGCAATATTTCTGTAGGGTGTTAAACCTGATTTTACCTTTAGCAGTACGTTTTCAAATTTTTGAAAGGCATCGAATCAACAAGATCCTACCAGAACAGTACCCGCTAACTACTGCTGATGCTGACGCCCATTTAAGAAATGTAGCGCACATACCCATATTCGACCGGAATCATCAGATCAGACTCCTACTATTTACAGGAAATAAGAACCTTCAGTGCCTTGTTCTGATTGTTATGAAATGTACCTAACATTTGACATCGACTGGAAGTGTATTCTAGCTAAAATAAAAATGAACAATGAACGCTCAAAGCCCGCATGTTAGTGAGTCCAGAGTATCTATATTCTAAAACAAAACCCAGCGCGCTTATTATCGTCATTAAATATATTTTCTAATTCAAGACCCGCTGAGTTTTGTGAAATAATGGGGGGTTTTCAAGTATAACTATTCAACAGAGTATCAAGGAATAAAGCAATGCAGATACCAAGATGGATAATCAACCACCTGGACAGTCCACTGGACACGGAGTTAAGCACAGATATCATCTTGGGATGCGCTTCTTCAGCGCTAATACCTAACGTATACATGAGCCATAAGCTGTTAATGAAATAGCATTTGTGTTGTATATCTCATTTGATTTATGTTTTTCAGGTAATCGTAATAAGATTAGAAAAATATTTGTATTGGTGTGTATTAACACAGTATTTACTACATAAACTCATATTGAAGCCCTCAGAATCCACAGTCTAACCTAACCATATCTGTGATTTGTATCCTATTCACATGGCTAGTCCATTGCAGGCACATGGAATCTAAGTCAAACCTAACAGCTTAGCCAAACTGGTATACTAATTTATCCAGAAATGGAGACTGCAAATAATCTTGTCACCATGAATCGAGATTATAGAAGTACAGGTGATAAAACAATACACAAAGGGCCTTAAATCCACAAGCGCTTGTAACGTGGAAAATAATTCAAAAATAACATAAAGCTATGACTAAGTATAATGTCTAAAGTCTGTTATGTCCATGTCCGTAAGCGAGATTTTTCAATAACTGGTCTGATTCCGATAATATCTACTGAAAGAGAATCGGTTTCAGACTAGTTATTTGCCCCTGAGTTAGAAATTTCAATGAGCTGGTTCGAAAAAAAGAAAATTAAAGCTTTTGTCCCCTTTGTCAATGAGACCAACACAGAATAAAAAAAATAAAGTTCGTCTCGACATCGTTGATTTCATAATCGAAAGTACACCATAGGCTATTGACACCCGTTCCTCGTGTTGAAAAGTACCTGACATGTCACGCCGCCCCTAAAACGTAAATTGGCTGAATGTTTGGATCTTCCAAAATAAAAAATATACAATTATAAATGAAAGTTTCGTAAGGTGTATCTGTGTTTAAATGTCAGGTATTTTATATTTCCTATTTTGATAATTTGACTAAGCTTCATTTATTAGTACATATATTTATTTAGTATAGATTTGATTTATATCAAGTAAAAAATAATAATTCTTCTAACAGGAATTTCTGCAATTATTTGTACATAGTTGTTTTAAATTTAGTTTTCCCGCCATTCTTTGGTCGTTATTAATTGTAGCCTATTTGATGAAACATTAATTAATAAAAACACCACGCACAGGTTATATTTAGTTTCTTTCCTAATTTATATGTTTATTTAGTTCATAATTTTATTTATTTTATGTTCCTTTTGTATATTTATTTCTATTTTGATTTTATGTTTTGTCAGGTAAGCCCGGAATGTCAGGTAAAAAAAGTAAAATTTAAATACCCAATTCTTCTCTTGCAGGGCAGCTCCATTCTTTCATAGCCATCAAAACTAGAAGTGGTACTACGTACGCTCCGCTTGGACCTTGGAATATTGGTAATCTAAAGTAATTACAAGATACGAAGAAGCCCATGAGTAATTTATTTCAAGGTCGCCATACACTCATGTATCGAATAGCTATGTTTTACAGAATCGGCACAATCATGACATGCTCCCATTAATATCATTCGTTATTTTCATGTCCCCATTAAAATCATAAAGGTTATTAACTTCGTACCCCTATCAACTTCATACTTTCATTGATATTTTTAATTCATTAATTATATACTCTCCTTAAAGCCACGGAACGCTATTTACATTTTTCGGAAAATTTCATTAAATTTTTATTTTTGGTCGTTTTAGTTTTCGTTCGTTTTGACTTTATACAGTTTTTATTGTCTGCAGAAGTTGCCCAAGTTTAGCGATTATTCAGTTCTGCAGAAAATTAAAAACTGTGCAAAATCAAAACGAACAAAAGCAAAAACGGCCAGTCGTCACGATAGTTATCTTGTAATTTTGTAATAACGAGATAGTTATCTTAAAATAACGAAATAGCTATCTTGTAATAACGAGACAGCTATAATGTAATAATGAGATCTTGTAATAACGAGATAGCTATCTTGTAATAACGAGATAGCTAGCTATCTTGTAATAACGAGATCGCTACCTTATAATAAAGAGATAGCTATCTTGTAATAACGATATAGCTATCTTGTAATAACGAGATAGTTATCTTGTAATAATGATAACAAAATAACCAGAATATGTTTTTTTCATTTGATTAATCCTAATGGTCTTCTGTAGATTATTGAATAGGCTGCACGTAATATAATACATTGGTTCTTTATTATTTACATACAGGTATCGACATCATATATAGCTCATTCTAAATATAAACTCACTGATCGATTGTCAAATAAAAAGGGTCACACTGATCCTTAGTGGTGGCACGTATATCCGTTGATAGTAAACACAAATGTGTGTATGCAATAGTCTATTTATCTGTACGAATATTCAAGTCTAACCTGACTCCAACTGTGCACATTAACATGGTTGATATACCAGACATCATGAAGGCTGTACTGAGAAGCTGAGATTTAATTTCTGCGTCATCCCTGGCACAGACAACTTCTGCTACCGTTAACGACACGGACATGGATGCAGATATTGACATTAATGCTTGCTGTAAAAAAAACAAGGACTCTGTCAATAGCATATTACCAAATAGCTCTTGCTTCCGTTTTTGGTTCGCCTCGCTTTTAAAGACACAAATAAAAATGAGTGTAATAATCAATTATAATACCATGAACGGAGATATATGCTAGAAATGTCAGATAAGGTGCTTCGTTGTGCGACAAATCCAACCAAATTTTAATAAAACTTCACACGCAATGTGTTTATGCATATGAAAGATGGGTCGACCTCAATGTTTGTCATATAAACGTCGCATATGAACCAGTAGATACAAATGTAATTGTTAGCTCTGTCAACTTTTAAAATGACAATGCTAGTTATGAATGTTACTCAGATAAATATACAAAACACGATCAAATATTGCTATTTTAAATGGACGTAACTCTAATTTTAAATAATAACATAATAGCATTTTAAGATGGATGTATTGTGTTGCCGCCCCTGTCCGTCAGGACGTCCAGTCACATTTGTTTTTGGACATTACATAGGTCACAATTTTTATCCGATTTTTACGAAACTTAAAATATATTCCATAGATATCGGTCCCTTTCGATATTGGCACGTATCGGGCCATAACTTCATGGATCATAACCCCTGATTATACGAAATATCGCGATTTTAGCTTGTGGACCCTTTACATTTCACACCGTTCACCGGACTGTGATGAAACTTACACTTAGTTTATAACTTCCAGGAATATGACCCCTGAATTGTACAACAAATCGCCTTTTTAGTTTGTTGTTCAAATATGTTAAAATATATTATTACTAACCATAATTACCGTTCAGTTCGAATTTCGTGAAAATCGCACCAAAAACTTCCCGTCAATTATACGCAAATAGAGTAAAATAATGTAATTCCAAGGTCATTGACCCCCTAGAGCGCACAATTTTTGTTATGGTGTTGGACTTTTGTGCGCGTCCGACTTAAGTGATTTCTTTTTTTGAAATTCGAAGTGAAGCATTATTACACGAGAGAGGATGGGCCCTATTTTCCCTGTCTATCTTTTGCAACATGTCGACATATAACCTGCATTGCAACCATTGTTATATAATATAACACTTTGTTTAAAAACAGATCCTATTTCTATTTTGTTTTGTTTAGTTAAAATCATTTACACGAGACCATCGATGGTTAAACAAACAAAACAAAATTTAAAATCGACTGTAAAAGGACAAAATTGTGACTTACTTGAAAAGCAAACATTATAGTTAGATAAAATGGTGGATTTTCACTTATGTTATAGATCAGGGGTCGTTCTTTTACTTCTTCCATTACGATATCGTCTTGGTTTTCGCCGCTTTGTACTTCATTTGTGCTGCCATTTTGTATAATTTTGAGATCAGTCTCGCAAATGTCACCTGAAAAACCCTCGTTACATTTCCCAGTATCTGCACCCATTTTACGATCCGAAATATTAACCATCATTAAACGTTGAATAATTAGAATCTACACTTCAGAATTAAATGTGAAACTTAATCAGCATCAATTTGAGTGCTGCTCTGTCAAAGTTATTTTCGACAATAAATTCGAAAGTTTCCACAACTTTACAGAACAGCGTTATTTAAAATAGTGACTAAGGCATTTGCAATAAGGTCAACGTGGGTCACCGTAAAGTTTTATATTTGCAGAAAGAATTAACGCGACAAAGGATTTGCCTATTCACGCCATGATGCAGCATTACTGACGCAAATGTATAAAATCGTGTTATGTCACTGGCAATTAGCAACAGGACAGAGTAATAAACTACAATACATACTTATGGAAAACAAAACGTCCCCAAAATACATAATTAGCTGTGTTCTATAAGTGTGTGTTATAGTTTATTATAACTTCGTGTTTTTTGACAAACTGTAAAAATAAAGTACATCGGTAAGTATAGCAGGTGAAATAAAAATAAATATAGTAAAGACGAATGATTTTCAAATAAATCTTTAATTATTTGGATTAATTGAAAGATCTAGATCTGTACTGATCTTTACCATCTAACGCTTGTTAATAAATGTATGTTTTCCTTTTCAGTATACTATTATCCTATTAATTACACATTAACATCTAATATAGGATATGTGATAATTTGAATCTTATTTGGTTACTACCCAATGGTCTATGTCACCACCAGCTAATTCTAACGCAGCTTTGAAAATTTGGACCAGGGCCTGCCATGTTCTAAAGTTATGGATATAAGCGAGTTAACACCAAGCACTGTACCAACTTTAAAACCATCTCACCAGAATAGAAAACGAACAGACTAACCATAAAACCACTGAATATCTATCGAATTTACCAGATTACACAACTGAATTACCAGTCAGTACTCTAACAGAAAATGTGTGACGCCCTCATCACCAATATACGCCATCTAGTCCTAGGAAATAGAATTAAATAAATGCGCCGCCAGTTTAAGACTAAGTCACAGCGAGATACCCTTATAAAACTATAGGCAGGTGGGCAGATCAAGGCAAGGCGATAATCGTCTTTAACACAGAGGACTGTCATAGTCAACAATTTACAAAGAGTACCACATAAAAGAACGATTATAAAGAACACTCTTAATCTTAAAACTCTCAGCGAATTGTGCAATAAAAACCAAATTACCGATGAGATCATGTACAAGATGAAAGTGATGTATCCCAGACCACCGAATGTCAGGGCTACAATAAAAATACACAATGAACCCATCAGATTGGCCCAGGGTATCTGTATTTTACAGAACTGCGTAGTAACCATCTCCACTGGGTAAATAAATCCGTTTTTGGAGATTCGGATAAAGATCAAATTCCCCCAAGAAGTTAGCAAACTTTATTTCAAATGATGTAGTTGTTCTTTTCACTAACGTCCCACGAAATGAAGCGATGCAGATACCATACAGAAAGCCTACTACATAAAAATTCCACTAACTAGATCCAAAGCTAAGTACATAAAATCACATAAAGCCCCCTTTACTAAAGTATACAAGACCCACATAGAGGAAGAAGCTGAACGCTAAATCAGAAGTATACCCAGAGCACAGAAAGACCACAGGTTCCACCATCAAACATCTACTGAAAACTAATAACCTACATAGAGGAAGAAGCTGTAAGCTAATGTGAAATCAGAAGTATACCTAGAGCACGGAAAGAACGCAGGTTCCACCATCAAACATCTACTGAAAACTAATAACCTACATAGAGGAAGAAGCTGTAAGCTAATGTGAAATCAGAAGTATACCTAGAGCACGGAAAGAACGCAGGTTCCACCATCAAACAGCTACTGGAAATTAATGAGAAGAACCCTGAATCAAATACCTTACCATCAATAGGGAGAAAATAATATTTTCTTGTTCATGTGATGGCCAGTACATATTGGAAACCAAAGGACGTTTACAAATAAGAATCAAGGAAAATCCACCTGCAGTCGCTGAACAACTGGCGAATAACAAGAGGCAAAGAATCGATAGTCTAAAGTACAGGTCACCGTTACTGACTTCAAGCGTGATGCGCTGAATCTGCACTTTGACCCTCCATTGAATTGTTGGTGGGATGATGTGTCAGAACAGCGAAAGGGCTGGGTTGGATCAAAATAGTAGTTTCTGAATCATGTTAAAATAATATTAAACTATATATTTATTTAGTAATGTGTCTTACATAAGTATATTATGTTATTGCATTCATTCATCTATTACAATATGTGTTGTTCCAATTATTTCCTTTTTGTTCTCACACTATTTATGCCTTATGCGATTTATCGCTATATTCTATACAAAAGAAACAATCAAGATATATAGAACTATATCGAATTACAATTAGTATGTGAAATAAAGATGATACAAGAAACGAATGATGTGAGTTAAGATGTCTTCTTATCTTCATCTGCCTGTATCTTAACTTCCTTCGCATCTGTTTGCAATCCTTTATACTTAGGCATTATGGGACAATATTTAGCAAATCTAGATATTTTTACAAACTGGGGAATCTTCGGGACGTCATAAAGTCCCATCCCTTCTTCATATTCTATATTTTGGTCATCTTGATGTGTTCCTGTCCTTCCAAGCTGAGCTTCTAAACCACGTGACTGTTTTGTACCTAAATTGAAAAGGAGTAGGTGCACCAGGGCTGATTGTAGAAAATGAGGGACCCAAGTTGGAAGGCCCGAAGTTAAAGGATATGAATATTTTGCATGATATGAATAACTTTAACAAGGCCAACTATGCTTTACTTCACAGTTAGTAATTGATAAATACACCTATTGGCAAACATGGTGCCAGATTGCCCGGAAACTTTTTAAGTTGGTAAGCTGCGGGCCCATTTTTAGTGTGGGGTCCAATTTGGGGAAATTGGTGATGTGTCAAAAACCGACCGGAGGTGCACAATAAATATATGTTTTGCTATCTTTAGGGCTTTTGCGTGATAACTCAAAATAAAATAACACAATATTTTAAGAAAAGATCACACAGTACTAGGATATAAAACAACCTGGCTAATTAAATTGATTAAATGTTAAGCTTGTTTGATATTGATCCTCCGTTTATTGTTATTAGAGCAATATGCACAAGGATAATTAATTGGCATTGGTTTCCATTCGCGGACTACTGAACACTGTTAATTTTATTATACCTGCCAGTTTACATCACGACACGCACGGAGTTTCGTCATGTCCTAGGATTTTATGAGTTAGCACAAAATCTTTTCCGGCGTGCAAAATGACCTACGGGTCTGATCCGGTCATTTTCTAAAGCCCTCTGTCAAGGCCGACACATACGGCCGACATGGAACCCATGGAATACACATACACGAGTGTAATATAATTGTCAACAAAAAGAATTCGGGTGTATGCGGACAAACTTCGCTTTCGTTTAATTAAAATTGTGCTAAGATTTCGTTCCGGTTTATTCTGTTGTTTCGTCCACTTCATCGTCATCTGAAGACGTGGGCACATTGCGATTGGTCATCTTCTAATCGACCTAGACGTTAACTAGTTTGGTTTCTCGATTATCATAGTGAATCAATCAAGGGTTATATTTGGCATGCATTGAGCCTTAATCCATGAGAGGGCGGTATGTTTATTGACACGTGTCATGGTTCCATTCATTTTTTTACCTTTGACTGTATTATCTAGGAAACAAGCCACAGCCCCAGCAATAAATATACCATTTGCCAAACACATAGTTAACACTGTATCCAGCTCTACTATACCTACACAATAAAAACACAATACATTTATATGCTGTATTTGAACATACTTTGAGCAACATTTAACAGTCGACACACGTAACAACACAAAAAGTTTTGTGGCAAATTATGACGCGGAGAGAACCCCCGACGACACGTCGCTTTAATTGTGGTCGATATTATGTTTGTTTTAGAGAGAGAACGTGAGAGAGATGGGGTATAACGTCCACTCGACACAAACTAGGTCATTTCGGGACTAACATATTCAATTTTATTTCAATAATTCGCTTGCAAATGAAATGAAATGGGGTTTAACGTCCTACTGTTTTGCTCCTATACTGGGCTAATGAAGGCGGGCATACGCCATACAGTGTGCTATGAGGGAAATTTTGCCCGGGCAGCGGCACTATCGTCTACTCTTATATCGAATTCCAGTTGCCAAGGGATCTTTTACGTGCATTCCAATGTATACACCGGACCCCGGTTTTTCGTCTCATCCGAAGAACTAGACAACTGTCCTTGTCAGGCCCTCCGTTCGGAACCACTGACAAGGAGAAGCCACGCGCGAAGGGGTCTTTGACAGTCGGAGGAAATCGGAGGACCCGGAGAAAGCCCACGGGGTTGGACAGGCGCCCCTACTTTTTGTCACATACAACCGGGGAATCGAACCACGCCAGTAGACTCAATGGCAGACCCTATGATACAGCGCGCACGCTCTAACCACTCGGCCAACCCCCTCCCAATACCTATCAGAGTAAATCAGTGAAGATGTTTTATTAGGTAACAATAAATGTATATTTGTACTCCAAGAATCACACCCATACAACATTCTTGAATGAAGCATGAAGCGAGAGACATCACTAACATACCTGTTTTAATACCATCTGGGTGTTTTACAATCCAGTATGGTACCATGAAACCTACCAATATACTGATACCAATTATAGCTAAATTTCTGGAACTGTTCATATCTATAAACTGCAACTGGGATAGAACGATTCCGAGGAATATACCGAAATATAAAATCATAGTGCCACCCAAAACACTGTACGGTATGGTGATAAATGCAGCATTCAGTTTTCCTAATATAGCGAATAATATATAGATGGCACCCAACAGTTGAAACACTCGCCTGCTTGCAACCTGCCGAATAAAGAAACAACACATTAAAAATGGGCATTTTGGGGTTGGCCTTGACTACGTCCTATTTAGTAATCAACCCAAGGGTTAGAGTCAAAATGCTGTGCATATTCGGGATATATGCACACTCAATAAGAAGTAATAAACACTATACCTTAGTTATTCCAATAGCCCCAATATTGCCACCATATGAACTAGTCGCATGTCCAGCTCCTGTCATGCCAGCAAAGAAACTCATCAAACCTTCCCAGAATATTCCACGGTTCAGGGCATGGGCTGGAGGAAATGGAGCGTGACAAACCCTAGCGCATGCGTTGTAGTCACATATTGAATCAACCACCGACATAATTGTGGCTACAATTGATCCAACAAACGCGGCTGTGTCAAATCTGAAACCTCCAAATTGACCTGTTGAATACAAAAACTAATTATGGCTCTGAAAATTTCAGACACATTGGGGATGCTCGATTCACAGTCCAGAACGTCCCGAATTGACAGAATTGCAATCGAGTGACGCGGAATTCAGTCATGTCACAGTTCTGTCAGTCCTGACGACGGAGGTGGTGTGAGTAGAATTGTGACGTAATTAAACACGACGAACAGGTTTCGGTTGCATAGTTGGATGAGATATTTATATATCCAGTCGACGCATGCGTTGTAGCCCGAAGTACCCATTTTCACTCGATTGTCACTATTTTTGGGATTGAGAGAATTCAATTCCGGAACGTTCAATCGAGTACGCCCATTTTATCTTTTATATTTTGTAATGACTAAGCTGTGTTTCATATTCATTCTACAAACCAGTTGATATTATTAAAGATACAGGTAAAAGACAGATTTGACGAATTCCCGTACAAGTTTAAATCAGCATACCAAACTGCATATGAATCCAATGTTTTGTGCATGCCATCTTGTTATTTAATTAAGTATCTTTAAACTCTGTTATAAGCTGATTTGGTGGATTAATTTCCTTGGCGACTTTCACCCGCTGTTAATGTTTCTTTTCGTTTTGCTTCTTTGTGATATGGTCAGTGATGCAGGCCGGAGGGGCCGACTAGGACAGCTGTCTAGTCCTTCGGATGATACGAAAAAACCGAGGTCCCGTGTATACATTGGAATGCACGTAAAAGATCCCTTTACAGTTGGAATTCGATATAAGAGTAGGCCTTAGTGCCGCTGTCCGGGCAAAATTTCCCTCATAGCACACTGTATGGTGTATGCCTGTCTTCATTAGCCCAGTTCGGAGCAAAACAGTAGGAAGTTAAACCCCATTTCATTTCATTTCATTTCTTTGTGATATGACTTTATACAGGGAGTATTCAGATATTATATACAAGATTCGTGTCATTTGTGCCAAACGTTCGCTGGAATATAGATGCTTGTAAAGTTCATTAGCAATGGGATTGTCAAGCGGTTTAACGGACTTAGCTCTAAAAAGTCTATTGCTTAGATGCTCGATCATTAGGCGAGTCTATACTTATTTTTCATATTATATTATATAAAATTAAGGGCATTCATTGTTTTATTGAAAATGATAATAGATCTTTAGGTGGAGACGTTGATTTACCTGGATATGGAAAATAAAACCATGGATTAGTTGTAATAATATCATTCCTGGCATCAGTTCTGGCATAAAACTGGACACTGCTTGGATCACTGGATAATATTCCAGTACTGGTAAAAATGGCGCTTAAAATCCATCCAAATATTACTGATATTAATATCTGTAAAAATATTATTATTTGGATAACATAGATAATCTTAGAGATTTTATTTATCACCCAACCATTTCTTACGCTCAAAAATGAATAAATAAATATAATTCTTTGGTATAGATTTGATTTTACTGAACCTGATTACATTACGACGTAGCGATACATCATTTTTTGACAGCAAACCACCCATATATTAAGGTTAGGGGGAGTATTGTTTTTGTTTATGGTAATTGAGAACTTTTCTCCAACAATATTACTGGATGCAAAAAGTAGTTCCTTTTTAATAAAACAGTAGTTACTTTTTAATTTAAAAAAAAGTAGTTCCGTTTTAATAAAAAAAAAAGTAGTTTCTTTTTAATTGACCAATCAAAATCATTAGATTATGAAACTTATCACCCAAGCGATATCTACTGTAGAATGTGTTATTGGGTGATAAATCAATTTATATGTATATTTTTAATTTGATTTAAATTTATTATCTTTATTGGACATAGTTTACAAAGACGACGACACGTTCATCATCATCGCATGCTCTTGCTTATGTTGAGTTCGATTTACAGACAATCGGCAGCGTTTGGTTACTTACACTATAATAGTATCGAAAGGTTGAAAGGTTATACTGCATATACCCCGGAATAATGCGTGTAACCCAAAAACAAATTTGTTTCCATGAACAAATTATTAACCCGATAATTTTCTAATTGGCAAATGACACAGACCGATGCGTGTCCGATGTTTTGTAAAGATATCTTGATATTCCTTTGATATCTCCGGAAACAGAACGGGACGGGCGGAATGCATTTCAATATTACCGAAAAAACTTGATGTAATGGATACCACAATATATGGAAGCCTCTACCCTTCGTCCACATTGGGATTGGTGTTCTTTTTCCTCGAAGATATAATGATAAAATGATACCAGATACCGTTGTCCTTTAAAATACAAAATCGTAAAGTTAGGGGATTGTGAACTGTTTTGTTTTTATTTTTTTGTTGTGATACACTTTTTAAACTCTCAATGCGCCATTTGGGCGCAATATGAATCCCTTGTAAGCTACAACATTGTGAAAGTTGAATCTCTAATAGGAATATCAGTCTAAAATGGTTCCTTGGATTCCATCGATCTATGCTGGTTCTCTATGTAATAAGCCCGTCGCCATTTTGTTGTACGCAAAAATGTATTAAAAGATCTATTTTAAATCTGTTTGGATTCAGGTCGGGACATTATCTAGTGTTGGTATTTTGATTTTGTTTGCTTAATTAAATATTAAAAATCAAACTTAGTTCATATTAGCGTGGGTTAAGTGGTGAGAAATATGATATTTTAGCGAAAAATACAAACGTCGCATCGATATCTTCTTTGATTGGCATTTAGTAATTGAACATATTAACACAAGGTACAATTTTATGGATACACAATTACTGAGTTTGATACTAAGCGACGTTTACACGAGGATACTCTTGTCATTATCAAGCAAATGATACAAATATCATTTGCTTGATAAAGACGAGAGTATCCTCCTCGTCGAAACGTCGCATCGATACTTTAAAGAACTACAAACTATAATATATAAACTGTGAGCCTGTATATGTAAAGATACAATATTAAAAAATGAAACTACATGATCAGTCTTACAGACAAACTTCTACTAAATATGATATATTTATTTTCAATTAAATTACAAAAATAAATGAAATAAAATGGGGTTAAACGTCCTAATGTTCTGCTCCGACTGGGCGTAATGATGACGGGCATACCCCACACAGTGTGCTATGAGGCACACCTTTCCCGGGCAGCGGCACTATGGCCTACTATCTTATATCGAATTCCAACTGCCAATAAATTTTTTTCGTGTATGCCAATGTGTGAACGGGACCTCGGTTTTTCGCCCCATCCGAACGACTTTTTTATATATAATATTGTTTATTTGGAAATACATACATATAAGTATATGCGTATAATACAAACGGGATCAAGGGGGAACCACGCCGGAAATACAAAATTAAATACAATAGATATAATTATGGGACCTTTAATGGGACATCATAACACAACAAATATCTGATTACTTACGAAAGAGCAGATGGCCAAAAGGTTTCAGCAAATTTCACTACCACTTTGTGAATATATAGAACTGCCAACAGCAGCGCAGGCACGATGGTGATTGGACCAACGTATCTGGCGACCACGCCCACTAATCCAGTCAGACCAATCAAAAGGTGAATTACGTCTGCTGCCATTAAGCTTCCCTGTAACTATAATTTAAATATGAAGATCATTAGATGAAGATGCTGTTAATGCCTAGGCACCATTAAGCATTTTTGTACTACCGATGGAAATTGATGAGTCTCTGGAGGCGTAGGGGACATGTTTCCCAGCGTTCGAGGGTAGCTTCCGGAGCATTGCGAGCCATGTGGAACCATCGCAAGGTCTCGGGAGAACTGCGAAACAAGCATTGAACTTTTTCCCGATGTGTCCTCTACCTTTTGTCGGGAAAACTCTTCGAGAGGCATCTCCAAAGCTTTCCAGATCTACGGGGAAGCGCGGGGGTGCTTCCCTCGCGCTTTCTAGAAATACCATCGGAGGTCCCCTGATATTTAGAGTAGGTTCCCAGGAAACTTACCATAGCCGAAGCCCAGTGAACGTTCACCCGGTCAACCCCGATGCCTAATAAGCGCCATTTTGCATGTGAATACACATAGTAGCTATTCTCCATCAGTATGTGTCTTGTTTTTTACTGACTAATCAAGACGGACACACGCCATACAGTGTGATATGAGGGAAATTATGCACATTCAAACCCTTGAAGGGGTTCTTTTACGTACACGTTTTCTGTACCATCCCAACGTTGATACGTGCGGAGGTCTAGTCTAGTCGTGGCATACGTCGCCAATATTTAAATATATAACTAATAATGATAATTACTTTTTCAATCTGACCAATGATGAACTCTCTAGGGACAGGCAGACGACCATTTATTTCTGTCATATTGGTGGACGAATTAGAATATAATGACACTGAATTTAAATAAGCATAATGTAATTAGTTCTTACAGGATGCCCATGATCACATTGATCTCATCTGAAGAAATAGGTTTAAAATCAAAATTCGTTTTTCGTTTGGCTGAGGAAACGAAATACTTCGTAGATGACGATGAAATATTGAGCCACCGAGATCTCACGAGAAATTGTACCACCTAGTGTACATTTACAAACGGTTGCGTATACGCGTATTAAACCTGAACCGAAAAATCAGAGCTTATTTTTTTAAGTTGATTCTTAGTACATGTATACTAAATCCTACTTGCAATACTAACTCATGTGGGCACCGGAGATGGGGATATAGCTAAAGGGGATATCATAACCAGTTTTTGTGGAGATTTTGACAGTCATGTTCTTTGAGTTCTTGCTCCTGATTGTGTTTAGTGCTTGGGAGAAGGGCGGGTTTAACGTCCACTCAACACAAACTAGGTCAACCGAAGGACTTGCAGAAAGACAACGAAGTGTGGGATCAAAACCACGCCACTTGACTCATTGACAGACCTTATGATCTAAAGCGCATACGGAAGACCATTCGGCCACGCCCATCCCCCTTGTGTTTTGGCCTTCCGTAATTAAAATGTAAACTTATAAATTAACAATTAAATTAAACTTTAATACCCAGTTCTTCCCTTGAGGGACAACTCCATTCTTTCATAGTCATCAAGCCTACAAGTGGCACTATGTATGATCCGCTGGGGCCTTGAAATATTGGTAATCTAAAGTAAATTGGTAAACGTGTTCCTGTATAAGGTGCCATAGAAGCAACAGAGAAATTACAAGAATTAACAAAGTGTTATTTTAAATATAAATAACTAACTGGAAGGTCTGTAAATAACGGTATCATCTGTACTGACAAAAATGACAAGCACCTAACATTTTGGACATGTATGGATAATATCAATAAAAACATAGAAACAAACCCAATCAGCGCCGGACGAAATGATAGACAACTGAGTAGTTGTGCCTGAAAAAGCTTTATTGGTGTCAGATCATGCCCGTTACAGGTGCTCTATTTCCAGACTTGCTAACTGGACAGGCACGACACAAATTGAAAAGTGGTACCAGTAGTATGACTTATAGTCAATAAAATGAAACCAGGAATAAGGTTTACCATACCATATTATTTATTGGCATGACAAGAAAATTTGTCTCCTATAATTAGGGCCTAACTAATTTTAGGCTAAACTATTTATATCTTTTAATAATGCTTAATTAATATTTATGGACATGAATCCACTATAAGAAATAATTGTTTTTAAAACAATTTTTTTAACACTCAATGCGTCCAATACATATGTAATCCTCGGGGTATCTGCTTTATCTACACATTAAAACTGTCAATATGACCCTTACACTAGTTATAGTTTTCTAATATTCAAACATATGCGCAGATTCATGTTGATAAATATACAACATGTATCTAGTGATAGCGAAATGGTGTTTATCAGGGTTTTTATTTAATAACGAGTTTATGGGTCTTTAGCTGTGTGCTGAAACCGGAGGATCCGGCGTTAACCCACGTGGTTGACAGGCGACCTACTCCATGTCACGTACAAGCGAGGAATCGAAAGCCCCCCCCCCCCCGCCTCCAGCAACATGCATCTAACCTGACTCCAACTGTACACATTAACACGGTTGATATACCAGACATCATGAAGGCTGTACTGAGAAGCTGTGACTTAATTTCTGCGTCATCCCTGGCACATACAACCTCTGCTACCGTTAACGACACAGACAGTGATGCTGATATTGGCAATAAAGCTTGCTGTAAAACACAAAGAAAACAATAGGATTAGGTCGAATATTCATTATAATCTAATACAAAGCCTCTGCTTAAGTCCCTGGGTCTCCAGGCGTTGCATACACTGCAGGGTTTAAAATTCAAGATATAAATGGCCCATTGTTACAGGAATCAGAATCAACATTCTGCACACAGAAAATTATCTACTTTGAGAATAGATCTCTGCCCTAGATGGCCGCCATACCCAACAATTAGTGCACTGTTTTGTAATGCGGTTTTACCCATGTTCCCATCTGTTATACACAAAAAGACTAATTAAACCTTTTAAATTTTATTAAATGAGAGCCGAATATATACTTCTCAAAATTCTCGAAATATACTTAGTGTTTTCTACTAAAATCGTCGATTTAGGACTTAAAATGTCGGTCAACTAGCTTAGTTTCTGTTCTCAAGAGGAGCTAATTGTAGACAGACACCGTAAGTTTAGTATGGGGAATCAAGTGTTCATGGCCGGAACTTGTTTAATAGTTGTTTACCATTGAGTTTTCCCGTCTTCATTAGCTTAGTCGGAGTAGAACAGTAGAACGTTAAACCCCATTTCATTTAATTTCCAATGACTTTTAATAAAGAAAATCTTTGGGATTCTTTGCGTGTTTTACCACAGCCTGTGTGACTTACTTGAAAAGCGAACAGAATGGTTAGATAGAATGGTGGAGTTTCATTTATGTAATAGATAAGTGGTCTGTCCTTTACTTCTTCAATAATAACATCGTCTGGCTTTTCGGGGTTTAGTGGTTCACATTCACTGGCTTTTTGTATAGTTTGGGGATCATCTTCGGAAATGCCACCTGAAAAACTTACGTTCCATTTTCTGGTAATGGTATTACTATTACACCCGGGACTATGGGCCGTTATCCAATGTTTTATTATTAGAAATCTGCACTTTAAAATAAAAGCCAAAAACATAAGAACATGAATTTAAGTGTAGCTGTCATAGTTATGTGGAAAGACAAAATTATTAAGACCCCCAAAACCTTACAGACCAGCTTGAGTCGACTTTTAAAATTGCTCGCATGGTTTGATCAACGCAAAGGTTCATATTTCGAAAAAATATTCAGATCGCGAAAGTGTTACCAGAATTCGATATGTTGAAATATCAAACCGATGTACATGTAGAGAAAAATATTCAGATAAATAAATAACACAGCACAGTGTTGTAATATTTTGTCTCATTAAAAGTCCTCTATATCCAATAAATTTATCCAATAAATAGCAACAAAGGTAACTTTTAAAAGGTTGACAATCGATACATTGGGCCCTTGCAGACTAGCATATACCATATGCGCCCCAACGACAGTAATGAAAAGACATTGTGCCTCATTGTGCTCATAATTAATAACCTCATTGTGTTTTAAACTGCTTCCTTTAAATGTACAGTAGAACCATCCATTCACTGAACATCATTACTTACAAAATATAACCTAAATATATAAAATATAAATATATACCTCATTTTTATCACTGACAGTTAATTTAATTGCTTTCATGCAAAATTCGTTCTCCGAAGTCTAATCCATTGCCCCAATCTATTTCAAGTAAGGCTTTTTCTATACCGCTTATACTGTGCACTATGATAATTTCACATATAATAAATATTGTCTGCCCTCTTTATAGCTTGAATAATCACACTGTTCAGTGATTAGTAGTTTTCGCGTCCATGGTCATGCGTGAATACTAAATAAATATACATTGGTTTAAGTAAGATGGAGTTTCTGCAGACTGATAATTAGGTACACGGCAGAAAATAGTCTTTTTTGAATGTTAAAATTTTCTGAACCTTGCGTTAATTTGAATCTATATTACTGAAACGAGATGCAATGGGGTTGGACGTGCTAATTTGTTGCACTAACTGGTCTACAGGATACATATCTATTCATGCTATATTATGATAGGGATCACGGTGGCTAATTGGGTAAGGCGCTGGCTCGCTAGCCTGGAGGTCGGGTGTTCGATCCCTGCATTGGCTGATAAAATTCATTCCGATTTTCCGGCGTGGTTCCCCCTTGTCAGTGATGCAGGATGGAGGGCCTGGCAAGGACAGCTGTCTAATCGTGCGGATGGGACGAAAAACCGAGATCCCATGTACACATTGGCGTGCACGTAAAATATCCCTTGACAGTTGGAATTCGATATAAGAGTAGGCCGTAGTGCCGCTGTCCGGGCAAAATTTCTCTCACAGCACACTGTATGGCGTATGCCCGTCTTCATTAGCCCAGTTTAGGAGCAGAACAGTAGGACGTTAAACCCCATTTCATTTCCTTGCCAGGCGAAGAGGAAACCACACCGGAAAATCCCGAGAGACTTTAAGACTGGGATCGAACCCGTTAACTCCATGATAGCGAACCATTACCTTTCTCACTGAGTGGTCAAAGAAGTCACAAACATACAAAAATATAAATATTAAGTGGTAATAGTTTTATTAACATGGCTATCTGATATAAAAATCTTCTTCTTTTCTATAGTTAACCAACAGTATTCATTCTGCAATATTTAACAGCAGAGGTGACACTATCAGCCTTACACCGGAAGTTGGGACAACATTTTAAATCGCTTAAATTACACCTCTGATTTATTTTCCGACAAACCTGAAATACAGTAAAATATTAATTCTAATGCAAGTTACAGTATTGGGAAAGTTGAATATGTAAAAGGGCTGTCAGTCACAAATTGTTATACATAATACGATCAGGCGCGGATCCAGGGAGGGGGGGGGGACTCGGCGCACGCCCCCCTCCCCCTCCCTATTTTTTGCAGTGGCGAACAATCTTTTGCCCCATATTTTCTCACGGGAAAGGAGAACAAAAATACTTAAAAATGGTAGTGATCCCCGTCATAATTTACTCCGAAACGAGCCGGTTGGTGACTTGCTTGATTGCCCGTCAGTCCGCCCCCCTTTCTGAAAATCCTGGATCCGCCCCTGACTATATTAAACATATTATGATGAATTGAAAATTTCGCAACATTCGGCAGCTTCTGTAACACATCTTTTAATGGGCCTCTTTTAGGCTGGTTGAATCAAGGCCTAAATTTTATCTACCATTGATACTTTGTCAAATAACCATTTTTAGTTCTTTTTAACATGTATTAAACCGTGAAAAATAAGACATTGTCCTAAATATAATCATTATTTGCTTTAAGGATACGATATGGGGCGTTTATTTGTTCTCAAACATAACAAATGAACTGTGTTCTTTTTCTATAGGACAAAACGAATCGCAATATCCGAGCTAAGTTTTACAATCATTCAACCAAAATTATAGTTTTTGCAGATCATTTTCCAGAATTCACCATTTATATTATTTCACAGATGTCGAGGATGATGCACAAAAGACTCCTTCCCTTCCCGAACACCCAGTACTGTTGGGATATTAACAATTTCCATATCTGTTTATCAGCTATAAGGATTGTCTAAATCATTGATTACAGATTGCATCTGACCTATAAATGTTTTATATACTTACCCCCATTCCTGTATTCATGCCTCCCATTCCAGGGTTCATGCCCATACCAGGGTTCATGCCCATACCAGGATTCATGCCCATGCCAGGATTCATGCCCATGCCGGGGTTCATACCCATACCAGGATTCATGCCCATACCAGGATTCATGCCCATGCCAGGATTCATGCCCATGCCGGGGTTCATGCCCATACCAGGGTTCATGCCCATGCCAGGTTTCATGCCCATGCCAGGGTTCATTCCCATACCTGGATTCATTCCCATACCTGGATTCATCCCCATGCCAGGTAATTGGGCGGTTGTAGAACACACCAATACAACAACAGCTAAAATCATTGAAGTCAACCTGAATAAAATACAATAGCTAAAATCATTGAACTCAACCTGAATAAAATACAACAGCCAAAATCACTGAACTCAACTTGCATAAAATACAACAGCTATAATCACTGAACTCAAACTAAACAGATGCAGCAGATCGGAATATACAGTAAATTCTGATATTCTAAAAATTGTCGCATGCTAAAAACGATCCATAACCTTATGTCCCTGTGTTGTCTTATTCTTCCACGGTACAAAACGAATGTATGAATAAGGTGTGACTTTTCATCGAAACTTTAACCTTATTATATTATATTAATTATTATTTAACCAGCTTTGAAAGCACTGGGTTTGCTGGTGGTGTTGGTAGTTGGGGTGATAACAGCGTTTCGATCTTCTCTTGTGTCCATTTTCAACGTGATGCCAATGGTTTACACGGTACATCAGTGTTTCGTCCGATCCTAGCAAACTTCAAAACAGATTCACTGTCCAGGAACTTCCTCAAAAAACCCCTGGTTAGTGAGCCCGATCATACGCAATGATCCACCACGACTCAAGACAGACGTTAATACACATACTTACATTTTGGACATCCGTACAATGTATGATGATATTTGGAAAGGATCCAGATATTTATAAATACAGAAATGGTAACACGCTGTACTATTTAATTGACGTATGTTATTAACTACAAAGATTAGTATAGGGTGATAGAATAAAAGATTTTGAGATAATAATATAAATTTGACAATATCGGCCCATTATATCAAATACAATTATACATCTAACATTTGTTTCATCAACAGATAAAGGCTAACTATTTACAATTCATTTAATATTGATGATAATCTAGTTGAATTTGACACAAATTGCGCTCAACATAACTTTTGGATAACAACCAAATGTTTAATTCTGTGTGTTGTATCTTCAGTAGAAAAATAATTTAACTAAAAATACCCTTGGAAAAATGTTTTTGGGTGTGTTCTGTAAAGTAATTATTATTTGGTATGTGTTCTGATTTAGCCAGGTTTGGTAACGAATACTCGGTGGTTGGAAAGGCGAACCTGGGTGAAATGGCGAATATCAACCATATAGGGATATTGCCATAATCAGGAACTTGGAGGTAAAGTAAATGATTGCAACCCATAGGAAAAACTAATATAACTTTTACACCAGAAAGTGTGGCATCTCTTTCCATTCAAATTAAGGCTTTAATGTACTTGAACTACACGTATTTTGTATTTTTGGATAGCGACTTGGTTATATGTGTTCCAATGTGTTAGTGGTTGTACATTATTTTTAAATAAGGGGCGTTTATTGGGTAATATTCTGAAATGGGGATGATGTATTCAAAACGAATTTTATAAATATTAAAAATACCTTATGGGAGATTAGATAGAGAGCCGGCAGTTCTCGCTATAATAGTTAAAAACTAGATAATGTGAAGGGAATTTGCTAAAAATTTCAGTCAGATTGATCCACTCTGAAGCGTGATTTTAGCGATGAATTTTCGGCCTAGCCTCGATCATCATTACTAAAGTCGGTACGATAAAATAAAACAGTCTCGATTATCCATTTTATGATTAAATCATGAATGGAAGTGGAGCAGCAAATGGGATCCTAATCCAGTAAATATCGCAGGCTAGCGATGGCATCGATAGTTGATTATGTTCTGGATAAGTTAATTAATGTCTAATTAATAATTTACTTAACATTTCAGGCCTAAAGAAAGACCTGCAATAGGTAGATTTAGCTCTTGCCTAATGTATGTTTAAGATAATCGAAATGTTTGCAAAGACATATCCCGGATTAAACATTGAAGTAATGTGGAGACAGCTTACTATGAATTCCTACGCTGGTCACACACGAATTAAGTGCCAACTTTATTCTTTTTGAATTTCCATGGCGTTTTTGTTCACATGGTGGTGTGGAATCGAAGAAATATTCATGATTTTGAGGTGGAAGGCCAAGAGGTTGGTTAGGTTGAAATGTAGGGTGGACAGTTACAGGTCCACTTGTATGCTACTCAAGTTTTCTATGGTGAACCTCATACCGCAGGCGATACGTTTCAAGTCAGTAGCTTGAAGCGTATATATGGTATTAGTGTCAGTGGCCTGTGGCACGAAGTAACAGTATATTGTCGCATACATAATATATTATGTCAACGCTTGGGCGATATAATATATTATGTCAACGCTTGGAACTAGGATGGAGGTGACGAGGCATGAACTTGCAACGATAGATTTAATTGGCGCTTTGATAACCAATGAATGCTTTGGAGACATATTTTGGCGGTATTTTCCATCATGGAATCGGTAAGTTTCGATTGTTTTTTTTTTTCTGTTTTTTCTCTCTTTTCTGTGTCCTAACCCTAACCCTAACCCTAACCCTAATCCGAAAGAAAAGTGCCCTTTTTTGAAATTCTGACATCACAGGTGCCCTTTTTCTGATAAGGATGCCCTCTTTTATTTACAGGGACACTTTCTATTGTTAAGGGGGTGGACCGGTCCCCATGGTCCAACCCCTGGATCCGCTCTGATGACGCGTACATTCCACTGAGTCTACAGGTCTAATATGCTAACACGCTTGGAGCGTCAACACAATATATTATGTCGCCCAAGCGTTGACATAATATATTATGTATGCGACAATATACTGTTACTTCGTGCCACAAGCCACTGACACTAATACCATATATACGCTTCAAGCTACTGACTTGAAACGTGCAGGGTGCATACCTGCTATTGAGCAAAATGTTGCCACATGTATGTTGCTTCATCTGTGGTAGAAAACGTTCAACCCAA